CTATGGATGAAAAGCGGTGCTCAAGTTTACCTTGGTACCTAATCTTTTTTGAAATGCCTGCCAAAAATGCGTCGTGAACTGAGGGCCTCTGTCAGATATGATTGAAACTGGAATACCATGCAATCAGACTATTTCTTTGATGTTCAACTGCGCATACAACTCTGCTAAATCTGTTGTCTTTACTAGTAGAAAATGTGTGGACTTTGTCAGTCGGTCTACAATAACCCAAAGTGAATCATGCTTACGGTATATGTGAGGCAGACCTATTATGAAATCCATATTAATCAGCTCCCATTTCCACTGTGGTATCTCTATATCTTGAGATAGGCCACCAGGCCTCTCGGCTTTGACTTGCTGGCAATTCAAACACTTGGCCACATGATTTGCTACTTGCTTCTTCATGCCTTTCCACCAATACAACTCTTTCAAGTCCAGATACATTTTGGTAGTACCTGGGTGGATAGAGTGCCTCGAACTGTGAGCTCCTTCTGTTATGGACTTCCTAAGCCCATCTACATCAGGCACACATAACCGATCATTCAATTTCAAAACTCCATCACTTCCGAGTGAAAGCTGTGATTTCTTTGTTTCTAACTCCTTCTTTCAACTTCACTAAGTACGGATCTTCGTCTTGCTTAGCTTTAACATGCGCAACAAGAGAGGATTGCGCTAAGGCATAAGCAGTTATACCTCCTTCTTCGGTCTCATCCAATCTAATTCCGTCATTTTCTAGTTTTTGAATTTCTTGACCCAAAGTTCACCATTACACTGCAAGATGGGCCAGAACACCCATTGACTTCCTACTAAGTGCATTTGCTACCTCATTAGCTTTACCCGGGTGATAAAGGATATTGATGTCATAATCCTTCAATAGCTCGAGCCACCTTCTTTGTCTCAAATTCAATTCTTTTTGCTTGAAAATGTACTGGAGGCTTTTGTGATCTGTAATAACTTCAGAATGCTCGCCATAAAGGTAGTGTCGCCATATCTTTAATGCAAGCACCACTGCTGCAAGCTCCAAGTCGTGTGTGGGGTAGTTCTTCTCATGATTCTTTAACTGCCTGGAAACATAAGCAATAACTTTTCCATCTTGCATAAGAACACACCCCAGACCAACTCTGGAGGCATCACAATACACCGTGAACCCACCCGAACCTGTCAGCAAGGTTAACACAGGTGCAGTGGTCAACCTCTTCTTTAACTCTTGAAAACTCTGCTCACAAGCGTCTGATCACGAGAAGTTAACTGCTTTCTGGGTCAACTTAGTTAATGGAGCTGCAGGTGAGGAAAATCCCTCTATAAACCTTCTATAGTAGCTAGCTAATCCTAAGAAACTACTGATTTCGGTTGGCGTTGTCGGCCTAGGACATTTCTTGACTACTTCTGTCTTCTGAGGATCTACTTTTATGCCTTCACTAGATACCACGTGGCCTAATAATGCCACTGACTGCAACCAGAACACACATTTTGAAAACTTGGCATAAAGCTCATTCTCCTTAAGGTCTGCAAGGCTATCCTAAGGTGTTCTGTATGATCTTCCTTGCTCTTAGAGTATACCAAAATATCGTCTATAAACACAATAATAAAGGTATCAAGGAATGGCTTGAAAACTCTGTTCATGAGGTCCATGAATGCAGCTGGAGCATTTGTCAACCCGAAAGACATCACTAGAAATTCATAGTGCCCGTGGCGAGTTCTAAAGGCTGTTTTAGATATATCCTCTTCTCTGATTCTCAACTGATGGTACGCTGACCTCAAGTCTATCTTTGAAAAGTACTTTGCACCCTGAAGTTGATCAAATAAATCATCAGTTCTTCGCAGTGGGTACTTGTTCTTAATGGTAACTTTATTCAATTGCCGATAGTCGACGCACATTCTGAGAGACTCATCTTTCTTCTTGACAAACAGAACTGGGGCACCCCACCGTGAAACACTCGGCTTGATGAAGCCCTTGTCAAGAAGGTCTTTCAACTATTCTCTCAACTCATTAAGTTCTACTGGAGCCATGCTATAAAGAGGTAAAGATATGGGCTGAGTGCCTGGCAGGAGATCAATGCCAAAGTCTATGATTCTTTCAGGAGGAAGTCTGGGGAGGTCATCTGGGAAAACTTCTGGGAATTCTCTAACAACTGGAACAGACTGAAGAGTTGGTGGTTCTGACTCTGCACTAATGATATGAGCCAAATAGGCAAGACTTCCCTTGCCGATCATTCGTTGTGCCTTAAGGTAAAAAATAAACTTGCCTACAAGCGATGCTGAACTACCCTTCCACTCTAAGACTTCTTCATTTGGAAATTGGAACCTGACTATCTTGGCACGACAATCTAACATGGCATAGCAGGAAGACAACCAATCCATACCCATGATCACATCGAAATCCACCATTTCGAACTCTATGAGATTGGCCTCGGTGCTGCGACCTTGGACTAAAACTATACAACCTCTATAGACTCTTGCCGCTTCCACTGACTGGGCAACTGGAGTAGATACCAGGGATGGCTCACTAAGTTGTTCAGGTTCTACCCCGAGGTTAATTGCAAAGTATGGAGTCACGTACGAAAACGTTGAACCTGGATCAATTATGGCATAAGCATTATGTGAGCATACTAGAAGTATACCTGTAATAACTTCTGCAGATGCCTCTGCACTTAGACGATCAAGTGTAGAAAACAAACGGGGTTGTCTCCCTCCCTGAGTAACTCGATCTGTACCTCTGCATGCCCTATGCCCGGTCTTATTATGAGAACCACGAGCCTGAGGTGGTGCAACTGTAGTAGCTGAGGAACTAGAAGGACGAGTTGATCCCCCATAGAAATTACGTCGCAACTTTGGGCAGTTGGCCTTTATATGACCAATGTCTCCACAATGATAGCAACCAAGAAGCCCGAGCTTGCACTGACCTGAATGTTGCCGCTTACATGTTCCACACAGACCTTGTTGTTGTGAATGTTGCTCAGCAATGACTCTAGCTATATGAGGATGATGTCCTAAAATTCTGATTCTGGCGAGACTGGTTTCCATAACTCTGAGTACGTCTGAAGGAAGACCCACCTCCTTATTAATGACTGGACTGAGCTGGTGCTGATGACTCCTTATTGGAGGAACCCCATCCACCTCCGCTGGATGTACCATTAAACTTGCCCGCTGTCCGGGCTGTTATGCCTTTTTTCTTCTCTCCTTTGTTGTCTGTCTTTTTCTAAGTGCTTGGAGAATCCCACAATAGAGGAGAAAGCTGTTATTCCTTCCGCTGTAGTTTATGTCGTATCCTTAATGTGGTAAGACAAACCGCCAACAAACCTGCGAATCTTTGCTTTTTCTGTCTTAACCATGTGAGGAGCATGCTTAGCCAGACTTATGAATTCCATGTAGTACTGTTGCACACTTTTATTCCCTTGCCTGAGCTGCTCGAACTCTATAGCCTTATCTTCCCTATCCTCTTCTAGTATAAAATTAGCCATGAAGGCCTCTTCAAATTCTTCCCAAGCAGGCGGACCATCATCGTTATCTCTTTCCTTTTCCCACATCTCAAATCAAGAGCCAGCCACATCTCTAAGCTGGTAGGCAGCTTGCTCCAAAGCTTCATCATCAAATGCCTTCATCGCTCGGAGGGCTTTCTTGACACCCTCCAGCCACAACATTGGATCTTCATCAACTATAGTACCACGGAACAATGGAGGACTCAACTTTAAAAGTTCATTCACTCATGAGGACTCAAAATTGTTCTGTCTATTTGATTGAGGTAGAATCTCATCTCTTCTCTCGTTTTGGTTGGCCATGAAGGCTTTAAACATCTCCATAGCACTATTGACAGCATTAAACATCTGACCCACCTCTGTAGATATAGCTTTCTGAGCCGTAACTGTTGTTGGGGGTGGCACTGGATCCTGAGGTACTGGCTCATCATCCTCCACCCCTTCTTCATGTTCAATTCGAGGTGCTTGAACCCCCTTTGTGGATTTACCCTTCCTTTTCTGAGTTGAAGCCTTCTTAGTTCTAACTTGAGTCACAATAGTAGCAATAGTTTCTTGAGCAGCATCCTGAGTGTCGGTGTCAGAGTTGCGAGTATGAACCATTTCTGCGAGTTCTGGAGAAACGAATACATTAGATAATTTTTTATAGGTAGGCTCTACTGCACGATCTAAAGTATGAAAAAATGAGACTTTCCTAAATGCTTGTAACCTCCTATTTATAAGTATGGCGCGCTTCATACCCATAAACAAGACTCTACTAACACGGCTTCATAGACCCCTAGGACTCCATAAACCTGACGTTTTGTCCCACTGGGTTTTCCTGTTAAGGTTTTTAACGAGGCAGCAAATAAAGCGTATTACAGATATGTGTACTCTCTTTCCTTCACTAAGATTTTTTTCCCACGGGGTTTTTTCTTAGTAAGGTTTTAACGAGGCATATTATCTATTTTGGACATCCAAGGGGAAGTGTTATAAAATCTTTAGTAAATGTGGATGTCCACTACTCCCACTACTCATCACCATTATGATTGTAACTCCCACACCTCCATAACCCCTCCCCCATGATCTCAATTGTTAATGTCATGTTTAAGACAATCATTTTGTAACCTTCATATGTAATAGTATAAATAGAGGCATGAAATGTGAGATGGAACACACTTGAACACTTGATGAAATAAGAAAGTTAACCTCCCACTACTCATCACCATTATGATTGTAACTCCCACACCTCCATAACCCCTCCCCATTATCTCAATTGTTAATGTCATGTTTAAGACAATCATTTTGTAACCTTCATATGTAACAGTATAAATAGAGGCATGAAATGTGAGATGGAACACACTTAAACACTTAATGAAATAAGAAAGTTATCTATTCTTCTCTTATTCTACTTATCTTCTTGTTTTATATTGTTACTTTGAGCTACATTTCTTAACAAAAATGAAAATGTGGCACAATGTTTTTGGTTGCACTAAACTAAAATCTGAATCTAAATCATTCATATAAGCACATTTATTATTTTATTTAAAAACCTTTAATAGATCTGTATGGATATTCTGTAGCAAAGTCTTTAACACCATCCAGATTTTAAAATAACTGCTTTTTTCCTCTCTCAAAATCACGTTCTTTCGGCAAAACAACTGCAGGCTTACTCATCTCTCTCTCCCAACTGCAAGCCAAAGTTTTTCTCTTCAACCGGTAAGATTTCAGAATGTTTACTGCGTAATTTGGAATTCGGATTCCGCATCTTGATTTAATTTTCAGTTTTGAGATTAGGGTTTAATTAAGACCCCTTTTGAAATATGATTTGATAACAGACGCATAAAGTAAAACCAGATTTACGGGGTCTTATGTCATTATTTGGAACAGTATAACAGTGAAAAATTACAGTAAGAAACTCTAATGAAAGAGTTGAAAGTATTAATGTATGGTTATTTGCTTGTGTGGCTACTTCAATTTTGGCAAAATCACTTACAATAACTAGAAATATTAACCTTGGCTTCGTTCCCTTTTGCTCGTTTTACCTTTCTCTATTTCTCTCGTGTTGTTGTGTTGGATGGGATAGAGGCATTTTCTAGAAGACAACAAAAAGATGACCAAAATGTCACCTTTTTGTATGAGTGTGGTGTCCGGCGCAACTTGCGCGCACTAAACTAATCTTACGGGATATCTGTTAACTTCCACCAGCATAGGTATCGGGTAATTCAGATGAAATCATGAAATTATCTAGTGTTTTTGCTTCTGGTTTGAACCTGAGACCTCATGGCTCTCAACCCATATCATCGATAGCTAGGTCCTACGTGCCCCAAATGTCACCTTTTTGTAAATTGTAAATATGTAAACGTCTTCTTGAGCCGAGGGTCTATCGGAAACAGCCTCTCTAACTTGTGTAGGGGTAAGGTCTGCGTACACACTACCCTCCCCAGACCCCACTAGTGGGATTTTACTGGGTCGTTGTTGTTGTTGTGGGTTTTTATCAATCAAGTTTGTTCAAATGTTATCTGATGAGAAGTGGAATCTTTACATGTCAATGTTATGCAGATAAAATATTTTGTACTTTTACCTTCTAAAACAAAATATTTTTCAGTATGGTTTCTAAAAGTTGTAGTAGCTGGCAAATTCAATAGCCAGTGGTGGAATCAAGAATGTATGCTAGAGGTAATCAAAACAAAATATTAGAATGTAAGCTTGTGTTTATTTGGTGTGACTTTAAGTAATTTTTGGAACCCCCTTGCCACCAAGAATCTTCAATTATGTCAAAAGGATTCAATAGTTAATATACAATCAAAATGTCATTTTTGTCCTCTTTGTGCAGTATAAATTTTTGCTGAAGTGGGTTCAACTGAACCCCCTCGACTCTACATAACTCCGTCCCTGAGCGAGAATTTATAGGTTTGAATTCTTGTCATTAGAACAAAATTTTTGAAAGGAATGTTCATATCTTTCTTATGTATATCTCACTACTTTCTGTATATAAAGCTGCTTGTGATGGTCAGTATTTTTATTTGTACATTCCCGTGTCGTTCTTCTTGAATTATTCGTTTTATGTACATGTTTTATAATTGAACCATGCTTTCTTAGCATTTCTTTACTGTTTCATTTGTTCCCCTGTTTTTGTTCTAAACCAAACCATTTCCCCTCCTTTTGTATTCTTCATATGGATTGCAGGTCTTCTTTTTGTGGGTTTTTATTGTTTTTTCTTCTTGATTGTCTCTGTTTTCTTACTTTAATTTGCATTAGTCGATATGCTATAATTGGTACAATTTTATATTTCAGATATGGAACAATCTACAATCTGATGAAAATCAAAGAGTGAGTTGGAGAAATGTCAATGTAGTGAAAACCTTTTTAGAGACTTGTATTGAAGAAGTATCCTTAAACGGGAGACTTAGAAGTAGTTTGAAGCCGGATTCATGGAACAAGGTTAAGCTAGCTCTGGAGACTTCTCATGGTTTAAGAGTCACCCAGAAGCAGATGAAGAATCATTATGATTATCTAAAAGAAAAATATCAAGCATGGTTGCCGATAACTAAAAAGTCCGGCAATATTTATGATCCAACAACCAATACTATTCGAATGTCTAATACTGAGTGGGATGAGTACATAAAGGTAAGTTCATTATCTAGTAAATTCTTCTTTTTATGGTAAAAAGTTGGTTTGACGTGTGTATTGAAAGCTATGTTGCTCGGACCCTCCAAAATATTGTTGCACCGTGTCGTATCCTCCAATAATGCATAGCTTTTGGAGTATCCGACAAACACCCGACAGTATTTTTGAAGAGTCCAGCAATATAGATTGAAAGTATGATCTTCTATATTTGGATATAGGCTCATCCAAAAGCAAAGACTTTGAAGAGTTCGCCTCTACCTTTTCCGGATCTTTGTACAACACTTTTTGAGGGTTTTACTGCAACAGAAGTTCATGGTCAGAGTCCAAGCGGTACAATTCCCGAGCCTAATATCTCTTATGGATCTACTGATAAAGATATAGATACACCTGATGATGCTGAAGATCTACTTCGTGACAAAAATGATGGAGCTTCTAACAATTCTCTGTCTCAATCTTCAATTCCAGTTGAAAGGAAAAGTTTAGGAATTAAGAGAAAATTCTCATCGTTGCAATTGGAAATTGATGAGAAGATGAGTATTGCATTGGAGATATTGATTAAAAAAAATAGCGGGCCTGACATTGAGGAATGTATGGACAAATTAGAGGGACTTGGATGGGAAGAACCGTTATACAGCGCAGCTGTTAGTATACTTTGTGAAGGTGATAGTCACAGAAAAGTATGGATGAAAATGATAGAGGTCGACAAATTAGAGAGTTGGATCAAAGTCATGGGAAAAAAGATGGGAATTCTTTGATTTTGCTAATTAGCTAGAATATACTTTAGATGTTGATTGTATGGAACCTTTTCTTTCTTGTTTCTCAACTAGTATTTATTATGCTAATGGAACTTTGTGACTCTATAATATGCTTGTGGAACACTTTCTGTTTGTGAAATACACTTTTTTTAATGTCTTGTTATGCTTGAATAGTGTAGAATAAATTTTTATATTTATTGTTTTGAGAATCCAAACCTAGGGAAGAACCAAAAGTGACTGGTGTGAACTGTGAATACTGGTGTGACTGGAATTAATAACTTAAAATAGGCATGAAGTTGTTACAGAAATTGTTCTTAACATTCATTTTGTATTTCGTTATACCGTAGCTTGCTGCTGAAAAATATTGCTAGGCTGGCGTGGCTCACTTTGCTCTTTAAGCTCCGTCCTGCTTGCTCAAACCTCAACATCTATAAAAAAGCCTCGAGTCTTTCTCTTGAAGTCCACATGAAACCCAATTCTCTTGGAGAAAATACTATGATGGAGCTAACTTTCTGACCAAAGTAATGGCTAATCAGATTTGTTTTGGTGTTATTTTGAGAAGGGGTCGAGGTAGTATTGGGGAGAGGTGATTAGGCAGGACATGGCGCTGCTTCAGCTCATTGAGGACATGACCCTTGATAGGAGGGTGTGGAGGTCGAGAATTAAGGTAGAAGGTTAGTAGGTAGTTTATAGTTGTTCACCCATAGTCTTAGTAGCATGCATGTCCCTTCATATTCTTAGATTTTTATTACGTTATTTGGTTTTGTTCGCCTCAGGTATTGTATTCCCTGTTGCTATTATTTGGTACACTTATCCTTTATCTCTCCCTTTTTCTTTTATCTTCCATCTTTCTTCCTTCCTTGCTTTCCTCTTCTTCTTCTTGCCCTTCCTGAGCCGCGGGGCTATTGGAAACGGACTCTCTACCTATATTAGGTAGGGGTAAGGTCTGCGTACAGACTACCCTCCCCAGACCCCACCTGCTGGGATCAAACTGGGTTTGTTGTTGTTGTTGTTGTTGTTATAGCAGTTGAATTTGCTTTGGTTTTCTGATTGGTGTGCTTGTTGTTCCCCTTCCTTTTATCTTTCCTAAGCCGAGGGTCTACCGCAAACAATTTCTCTACCTTCTTGAAGATAAGGGTAAGGTCTGCGTACGCACTATCTTCCCCAGACCGCACATATGGAATTACACTGAGCTTTTTTTTTTTTTTTTTTTGTTGTTGTTGTATAGCAGTTGAATTTGTTTAAACACAGGGTTGCAAAATGCAACAAATACAGCTGAGTTTGGCTTATTTGTTTAAGTTTTTGCACCTGAACTTTCAAACTCAATGTTATCATTGCATTTGGCGTTTGGACATGAAGTGCAAAATCACATTAAGGTGATATGTTAAACCATAGTAAGTATCATTGCATTTGGCCATGTTCATAATAATTACTCCCTCTCGTCTCCAAAAAAAAAAAAAAAGAATCTTTTACTAGTATTTGGGAAATCAAACAATGTTTTGTTTGATCATATTTTTTGCAAGTTTTAAATATTTTGAACCGTTAATTATTGTGACTATAGTACTTTTTATGTAGTTTTAAATATATAAATTTTATTTCAAAAACTTAAAGAACCTGTGTTTGAATTCAGTGTGATTAATTTATTTCACTCTTATAGCCCGTTTGGCCAAGCTTCTTTTTGGCCAAAAGTGCTTTTTTTGGCATAAAGCACTTTTGGCCAAAAATTGAGGTGTTTGGCCAAGCTTTTGGAAGGAAAAAAAGCGCTTTTGAGGAGAAGCAGAAGCAGTTTTAGAGAAGCAGAAAAAAGTAGCTTCTCTCCAAAAGCACTTTTTTGAGAAGCACTTTTGAGAAAAATTACACTTAGAAACAGTTTTTTAAAGCTTGGCCAAACACTAATTTCTGCTCATAAGTGCTTTTCAAACTAATTAGCCAAACACAAACTGCTTCTCACCAAAAGTACTTTTGAGGAAAGCACTTTTGAAAAAAAGCACTTCTTGTTATAAATAAAATTATATTTATGGTGAATGTCTATATTTAGAGAGATTCTAGGGTTCATTGCTTGGTGGCTAAGTCATCCTTTCCCTATAAATAGAGGGTTCTATTCCATTGTAATTCATCCCAAATCCATAAGAATTCTCTCCCTCTACTTTTCTGTGCAATACTCTTCTTCTTCTTTTATTGTTTTATAACACGTTATCAGCACGAGACTCTAACCAATTGAGTAAAAGCTTTGTGATTGAGCATAATCATTGTCCATTGTTCCATGAACTTCCTTCATGATTAAATTCTGAATTTAAGGTATGTATTTTACCGTATTTTTCTCTTTTATTCAATAATTTAATTTTAAATACAAGCAAAGAAAATAAATTTTGATTATAACTCTAATGGAGTTAGTAAGAAATTATAACCACTCGAAGTGGTAAAATTTTTATGTCTTGTCATGATCAAAGTCATGTATGATCATGAGCACAAGAAGTGAAAAGCCGTCCCATTAAATTTGCTGCATTCTCATTCCCTTAAGAGAATGTGATAGCAATATGTGATAAGTCTGAAAGAAGATAAAATTATTACCGAGAAGGTATCAATGGATGTGGATGTGGCAATAGACGAAATTATAATCGTCATCATTGTGGTAATGAGAACAATAAGTATTCTCAAAATAATCCTTCACTGTGTGAAAGTAATGCTTGTCATCAATTTGACATGAGATTTTGTAAAGCACATATAAAAATTATGGTCCATTCATGATGTGAATGTGACAACATATGATTTATTAATACATATTCATTTTTTGGAAGAATATGAACGTGCTAGTGGTAGTGAATATACCACACTCACCTCTAGAAGGAGGTTTGAGATGATATAAGAAAATAATGTCATTATTACGGCATAAACGGTCATTGGTCACGTACTTATCGTACGCCAATATTTTGGCATTGTGATTATTAAAAGACAACGGTAATGCAAGAAACAGATCTTGCATATAATTTTGACCATAGTCATAATGGTATAATTTCTCTTTAAAAGAGATATTCACCATATGGATGTTGATGAATATGTGGTAGTACCAAATTAATTGAGAGCTCTGGAAGAGCCAATTATTACTATTTTGGAGAAACACAATTGATTACCAATAAGGTATTGTGTTGTAGTAAGTCTCAAAGAAACTTATTCAGTTTCCAAAGTATACGCGAAAGTGGTTGATTATAATGAGACTATGAATAAAGGAAAGATTTAATATCTTCTATTACTACAACTTGTAGCTGGGTAATATGTATGTGAAAAGCTACCCGCTTTATTCTCCAGTTTGTACTACACAAATAAAAGAATACCACAATAAAGTGGATATTTATTGATATAAAAACTCATATCATAATAAAACTTGGAGTTTATTGATAATTGCATACGTCATGGTGTAAATCTGAAGTTTATCAATATTGATAATTTATTCAGTTGGCATAATTGATTTAGCCATATCAATTTAAGTATGATGTGCAAAAATAATAGAGAATTCATATGGGTATATTAAAAGAACTAGAAAGTTCTTTACGAATTCTCTTATATTGCTTGTTCTCAATAATTAATAGATCAACTAAAATTGTGATTGAATCCCACGAATGCTGAAAATATCAAAGGTGAATATGGGCCCATTCACCTGCCATGTATACCACATAAGATGCATCTATGAGATGGTTACATGTGAGATTATTAACCCGCAACCTGCTGTTTTGCGAGGTAACTTGCTCAATAATTTAATTTCGAGCATAATTTCCAGATTTTCTATTCAAGAAGTTCATCTTGATAAGTTGGTTTACATCACAGTTGGTTTAGCAAAATGATTTGTTAAGTGCCTCTACTTAATAGCTAAATAATTGCTTATGAGAACAAAGTTATCTATATCAGTTTGATATACGTTATATACCAAAGTATATTATTTTCTCCCCTCACAAGTGGTTCAGGGTCAGGAACCAAATAATTCCATCTTATTATTATTGATGTGCGGTGTATATTTTGATTAACACCATAACGCACAAAGATGGTTCTCAAAGTTAAGGAAACAAGTTAGTTTTTCTAACATGAGGGGGAGACAAGATACAACAGTTGAGAAAAAGTTACATGGAATGAATTATTATTTATACATCTTGATCCTCGAATAAGATAATATGAACTTAAAGTTCATAAAAAATAATTCATCTGCAATATATTGCAAAGCATGCCAGACGCATTTGCTGGCCCAAAGAAAGTAATTATATTCTCATTGTAAATGCTCCTATTAAGTCCTAGAAGGACAAAGTCTATGGTACGCTTAAAGCGTATAGACAAATCGGTTTCAAATAAACTTCTTGATAAAGAAGATGAGCAAATAATCTAAATGATCATAACAAAAGGAGGCAAGTGATCTAGAAGATCACATGACATAACACTTCATTAAATCTCATGAGAGATTCAAGTACCTGAAATATGAATGAAGAGATCTCTATGTTATGTCTTTATGAAAAATAAGGAGGTTGGAACCGATATAAAATGTTTGTCGACGACATCGATAATAGCGCTAAATATATATGAGGATCTTAAGTCTGGAGAAACATTTCAAGTAGAATTTGGTTTCATATGAAAGACATGTAGTTTTGAACATGTAGTTCAAATACTTGAAAGTATAAAGTCAATGATATATGCAATCAGTTTTCGATATCTTATATGTCTAGCATGACATGAAAACTTGATATGCATCTAAAGTCTATTATATGGCTTATATGACTTAATAATCCCTGAAGGATTTAAATTGCTTAAAGCATATAGAATTCATGGTCATGAAGTACTACATCCTCAGTGCAATTTGTGCACAAATGTATCTTGCTATAACTATATGCATGATAATATGATAGCAAGAGTTTTCACCTCTATGTGAAGATATTGAACTGACGATTCCAACAAGATCATATGAAGACAATTCATCTCTATCAAGAATGATGATTTCAAGGTGCAATATATTCATTCAAGTTAATATGGCTGATTTGTTTATCAAATCTCTACCAAAGATCTTTTGAAGATGGTGCACAAGATTGGAATGCAAATGCTTAAGGATGTGAATTGATGCTCTCATCAGGGGGAGTTAATACGCGTTGTACTCTTTTTCCCTTACAAGGTTTTGTCCCAC